TCTCTTGTCTCCCTAAGATAACAGTCCTCAGACATGTCTCTTGTCTTCCCTAAGATAACAGTCCTCAGACATGTCTCTTGTCTTCCCTAAGATAACAGTCCTCAGACATGTCTCTTGTCTTCCCTAAGATAACAGTCCTCAGACATGTCTCTTGTCTTCCCTAAGATAACAGTCCTCAGACATGTCTCTTGTCTTCCCTAAGATAACAGTCCTCAGACATGTCTCTTGTCTTCCCTAAGATAACAGTCCTCAGACATGTCTCTTGTCTTCCCTAAGATAACAGTCCTCAGACATGTCTCTTGTCTTCCCTAAGATAACAGTCCTCAGACATGAGTCTCATGTCTTTCCTAAGATAAAAGTCAGACATGTCTCTTGTCTTCCCAGTTCCTCAGAGAATGTGCTCTTGTCTTCCCTAAGATAACAATCCTCAGACATGTCTCTTTATACATGTAATGAGAAGGAGAATTTCTCTGGAGTACAGTCCTCATGTCCGTCTAAGAAAGTTAACATGTCCTCAGACAGAGGGAGTCTCTTGTCTTCCCTAAGATGGACAGTCCTCATGAACATGGAGGGATCATCTGTGTCAGAGTTGCTTTGAAAGTAGATTGCTCGAGAAAGAGACAATATTCTGTGGTGTATAGAAGGAGAAATGGAGTACATCATGGCATGGACTCTAGAGACGAGACAGAAGATTGAGAGAATCGACTACCAATGAAAGATCATCTGGCAGAGTTGACTCTAACGAGACAGAATATTGTGGTCAGACTACAACATCTCTTGTATATCCCCAAGAAAACAGTCCTCAGACATATCTCTTGTATGTCCCTAAGATAACAGCCCTCAGACAGGTCTCTTGTCTTCCCTAAGATAACAGTCCTCAGACATGTCTCTTGTATGTCCCTAAGATAACAGCTCTCAGACATATCTCTTGTATGTCCCTAAGATAACAGTCCTCAGACATGTCTCTTGTCTTCCCTAAGATAACAGTCCTCAGACATGTCTCTTGTCTTCCCTAAGATAACAGTCCTCAGACATATCTCTTGTCTTCCCTAAGATAACAGTCCTCAGACATGTCTCTTGTCTTCCCTAAGATAACAGTCCTCAGACATGTCTCTTGTCTTCCCTAAGATAACAGTCCTCAGACATGTCTCTTGTATGTCCCTAAGATAACAGTCCTCAGACATGTCTCTTGTCTTCCCTAAGATAACAGTCCTCAGACATGTCTCTTGTCTTCCCTAAGATAACAGTCCTCAGACATGTCTCTTGTCTTCCCTAAGATAACAGTCCTCAGACATGTCTCTTGTCTTCCCTAAGATAACAGTCCTCAGACATGTCTCTTGTCTTCCCTAAGATAACAGTCCTCAGTAAGATGAGAACACCATGGAGGGATAAAAAAAGTAATGATGTCTTGAAGAAAACTGGCTTACGAAGAGAACTGATTGCTCGCATCAGAAAGAGACAATCTACATTCTTTTATCATGTGATGAGAAGGAGAAAACTGGAGTACATCATGACGGTAGGAAAGTTAGAGGGAAGGAGAGGCAGAGAGAGACCGAGAGAATAGATGCTGGACAGTTTGACATCATGGCATGAAAGATCATCTGTGTCAGAGTTGATTGAAAGTAGACGAGACAGAATATTGTGGTTATGACTACCAACACCACATGGCATGGACTCTAAGACGAGACAGAAGATTGTGGATACGACTACCAATGCCACATGGCATGGACTCTAAGAAGAACAGTCCTCAGACATATCTCTTGTATATCCCCAAGAAAACAGTCCTCAGACATATCTCTTGTATGTCCCTAAGATAACAGTCCTCAGACAGGTCTCTTGTCTTCCCTAAGATAACAGTCCTCAGACATGTCTCTTGTATGTCCCTAAGATAACAGCTCTCAGACATGTCTCTTGTATGTCCCTAAGATAACAGTCCTCAGACATGTCTCTTGTCTTCCCTAAGATAACAGTCCTCAGACATGTCTCTTGTCTTCCCTAAGATAACAGTCCTCAGACATGTCTCTTGTCTTCCCTAAGATAACAGTCCTCAGACATATCTCTTGTCTTCTTTAAGATAACAGTCCTCAGACATATCTCTTGTATGTCCCTAAGATAACAGTCCTCAGACATATCTCTTGTAAGTCCCTAAGATAACAGTCCTCAGACATGTCTCATGTCTTCCCTAAGATAACAGTCCTCAGACATGTCTCTTGTCTTCCCTAAGATAACAGTCCTCAGACATGTCTCTTGTATGTCCCTAAGACAACAGTCCTCAGACATATGTTGTCTTCCCAAAGATAACAGTCCCTAGACATGTGTTGTGTCTCTACACGCCAAGTCACTGACTGGCACGAAATATAATCACTGTGAACTAAGAGGTATAGGTGCAGTAACTGAAGCTAGAGTTCACACTTTTGATTATTACTGCTGCAGCCAAGGCTTTTTTCTAGCCATATGCAGTACTGGCACTTTTTTAAGGCCATTTGTTTTTTCAGCGCCACTGTAATAGACAATTTGTGATGCCTTGCAGCACCTTATTTTAGAACACTTGGTGGGTGAACACCTGCACTTTTTCTTATTTAAAAAAAAAAAATGTTGCTGCAGTCATATAACAGAACTATGAACTGTAAAGACAACATAGATTTGAACTGATATGCTACATACAAATTATTAGAATACCGAAGACTAAGAAGATGGAAAATGCTGATATCCTCAAGGAGAACTGGCTCATAAACAACAGCACCCTGTCCCAAAAGTTTGGCTATTTTTGCCATGTCAAATATTAAGGTGGTCTGGAGAGAAGTGTCATGAAGGACGCATTTTCTGGAAAAAGAGGCAGAGGCCGATAAACAACTCTGAAGATATGTTGGCTATGAAAGCACATGAGGCTGGAGAACTGGCTAGAGAGAGAGACATCAGACGTGCTGTGAGGAGAGCGATGTTCTGTAAAGCACCTGCTGAATGATGATATAGACAACAGGCTGGAGTTTTCAGATTTGAGCTAGGACTTTCAGGCTAGGAATAAGAGTGCTTACAGTCAGCTGTGTGTGACTCTAACACAAATAGTTGCAATCCTCAAAGTCTGTTGTTCATGTCGTATTGTGAATCACACAACAGTTACAGCACTTAACATAAATACTACATCAAATGTTGAATAGAAAGTCCTACAACTGTCATAAAAGAAGTTTGCTGTACATGTTATCTCAATGAGACTGTCACAATAAATGTTATATTTACAGACTACACCAATGGTTACAGATTGTTACAGTAATAATAAAACAATAATGGTTACGGACTGTTACATAAAATGTTACAGACTGTAACCAGTAAATATTACAGACTAATACAGTTAATGTTAGAAGAGTTACAGACTGTCCAGTAAATGTGTAACAATGGTTACATAGTACACTAAGTGGAACATGTTACAAATCTAGTACCATGTACCACAACCTGTCATAATTTCTAGTCACTGTACAGTTGCTGTAAATTCTTGCTACAGTTAAAGAATGCTGTTTTAACAGTATGTGTTATACTGGAATATGAAGTGGAAAATGCCCTTAAAATAAATAGAACAAGGCAGCAGGAACAGATGGTATTACAACAGAAATGTTCCTTGCATGTAAGACAATAGCAACAGATTGCTTTACCAGAATCTTTAACATGGCTTGGGAAGCACAGAAGGTTCCAAGTGACTGGCAGGGAGCAATCATTGTCCCCATCTAGCGGGGAGCAATCATTGTCCGCCATCTGGAAGAATAAAGGAGACAAACAAGACTGTGAAACGTAGGGACTTCTCCAACTCGAGCCATACTGGAAAGATGTTTGCAAAAATACTGGAATTCAGAGCTCGACCAGTACTAGAACCCCAGTTAAGAAAGAGCCAGTTTGGTTTCGAGAAGCGAAAGAGCTGTACAGATGTGTATGTGATACCAGCACAAAAATATGAGTCAGCTTTGTAACAAGTCACAAAACTCAGCTGAAATATTTAGTGGCTAACATCAGCTGAAATACACCTTACCTAAAAGTAGTTGAAATCTTACTCCTAAATTAGACACAGTTCTAGCTTCATGGCAATGAGTTACCCATAACTGCTCCAGTCCTGTGCTGCAAAAATCACACACAAAAATGCCAGTTACTTTTCTACGTGACAGGTGAACAGCTTGCACAGCCTTCAAAGGTTCCAGTACCAACAGTCTGTAACTGGAACTGTAGCCTATCATCAATGGGAGCAGAGGTCGTGAAAAACAGGCAGCTAAACACATTACTGCATTAGTGGTGGTCTGGTGGTGAATGGTCGACCACCTGCACCATTTCTAAATATATGCATAATTACCATGAGCATAGATATAAAGATTTAACAAGAAATTGTGTCGTATGAATCACTTAGTTCAGCAGTGTTGGAACTATAGATTGCAAGTCCAGATTGCAGTAAATGTCATCAAACCATGGCTAAGAGCAACAAACACTCTAGGACTTTACAGCCTGCCTGCCTAACCTCCATACAGAACTGAAATTTCTCTCCATTCCTGAGACCAGATGAAATATTTCACTCCTAAGATCAGTTCAATAACCAGCTGCTAAAATCAGATGAAATGAAACAGTCAACTGCTAACATCTGTTGCAATATTCTTTCGCAAATAATCAGTTGCTTATATTAGCAGGAAAAGTTGCCAAAATATGCCAAAATATTGCTAACTGTTGTAGAGAAGTGCTGAGAAGTGGTAGATACCTACATGTGATTAGGTGCCTGATGTGATCAGTTGCTTCTTTGACCAGCAGGCCTCAGTTTGTTCAGTTCTCGCACTGCCTATTGTGGAAGACTAATTAAATTTATCAGAGTAACAAGTTTATAAATCTAACACCAGGTGTATTGGCATATTATGTATTAGAATGTACAACTAGTTATACAGATGCTCGCTAACCAGTTACAGATAAATGTTTTAGCATCCCTACAACTATGTACATGATGGCATCTGATATATTATGTCTCATAAGGCACTTTATGATTGAGGAATACAATCTTTAAGAATGTCCTTAGATGCCTGGGGTATACTGTTAGGAAACACAATGTTGAACTCAACCACTAGGTCTCCACGCTGAGATGGATTCTTGGACAACGGAAGTCCCTCTCCCTGAATGCGTTTAACAGTGTTTGGCTTCACCACCTCGGTCAACGTAAGAGGGATCTTGCGGTTGGTCAGTGTAGGCACCTGTATGGTTGTACCACACAGAGCATCCCGCAGGGAAATGCGAGCCTTATACTTGATGTCGTTGCCATCTCTTACAAACACTGGGTGAGGCTTGTCTCGGATCACAAACACAATATCTGCTGGTACGTTATGCGGGGTCTGGTCGCCTTCTTTGGGAAATGTTATCTTGGTTCCTGCCTTCCACCCTGGCTTGATGTCAACTGTGAGAATTTTGTCTTCAGTTTTTGTTGTTCGCCCATCCTGGTTGAGGACTTTTCGGGTGATTTTCATCTTTTTGGTGGTGCCGGTTAACAGCTCCTCTAGCGACACCTGTAGGTCTTTAACAATGGCCGGGTCTTGGTGCTTGCGACGTGTCCCATGTCTCTGTTGCCCTGAAAATGGGTCGTCCATATCCATGTCATCTCCACCTCTACCAGACTGGAACTGGAAAGCGGATGGCCTTCCACCATGATTGCCACCTCCAAAAAACGACTGAAATGGATTTTCATTGCCAAAAAACATCCTAAAGGTTTCGTGTGGGTCTCCGTGGAACGAGTAGGTATAATTTCCAGCACGTCCCATACTGGGTCCCCCATTGCCACCGCCTCCTCCTCCTCCTCCACCCATTCCTCCCTTTAAACCTTCTTCTCCGTACTTGTCAAAAACCTCTTTCTTCTGTGGATCACTCAGCACGTCATAGGCTTCAGCAATTTCCTTGAATTTCTCCTCAGCACCAGGAGATTTGTTTTTGTCCGGGTGGTACTTTAAAGCCATTTTACGATAAGCTTTCTTGATCTCATCTTCAGTGGCGCCCTTAGAAATGCCAAGGAGTTTGTAGTAATCTTTGCCCATTCTTGCTTGAACTGTAATAAACTAACGCGCGACGCTCACAGATATCCGTATAATAATAACTGTCCAAAAGCAGAAACAGGACACAAAACGATCAACTGGTGTCAGCAAATCTCGTATTTCAACAGAAACCCGAGCTCAGCCACACAAAAAACAACAACTTGAGACTGAGACGACAACTCCCTGCACCACTAACTGTTTGTCCTCGTCGTCCTACTTACAGCCAATCAGCGGCGTACCGGAAACTAACGAATCTTGCCGATTGTTCCCGAACATTCCAGAAGCTCGCCCGCCCACACAACTATTAAAAACATTGTCTCTGTTTCAGACCAGGTTTTGTGATGGGATTTCTCCGTGTCGTTCCATTTGGTGGGGGTCGTGTCGTTCATTTAAAACAGTGATATCCATATGGAAACACTGGAACATATTTAAGGGGCGCTTGATATCTTCTTTTGCCTTTCTAGCATCCAGTGGAGCATAGGCCCTCAACCAACTCACGCCAAGTCGTTCTATGTTTTGCTATAGCATGCAGGTTTCCCCATGTCCTCCCAATCTTTCTAATTTCATTCTCCAGCTCCCTTCTCCATGTTTTTTTTTTGGGGGGGGGGGGCCTTCCTTTATTCCTATGCCACTGTGGGTTCCAGTGCAAAGACATTCTAGTTATATTGTTCTCCGGTTTTCTCAGTGTGTGTCCTATCCAGCGCCAGCGTCTTTTCTTCACCTCTAGGTCAAGTGGGGCTTGCTAAGTTCTCTCTCAAAGCTCTACATTAGTGATTCTATCATTCCATATAATTCCCTCTCTTCTTCGCAGGCACCTGTTGATAATTATCTGTAGTTAATTAGTAATTGCCTTAGTTGTTCTCCATGTTTCCGCTCCATACAATGGTACTGATTTGACATGAGAATTAAAAAAATTCAGTTTAGTATTTCGTGTGATATCATTTAGGATAAAAAGACCGCAGTAGTAGTAGTAGTAGTAGTAGTAGTAGTAGTAGTAGTAGTAGTAGTAGTAGTAGTAGTAGTAGTAGTAGTAGTAGTAGTAGTAGTAGTAGTAGTAGTAGTAGTAGCAGTAGTAGTAGTAGTAGTAGTAGTAGTAGTATTAGTAGTAGTAGTAGTAGTAGTAGTAGTAGTAGTAGTAGTAGTAGTAGTAGTAGTAGTAGTAGTAGTAGTAGTAGTAGAGTAGTAGTAGTAGTAGTAGTAGTAGTAGTAGTAGTAGTTAGTAGTAGTAGTAGTAGTAGTAGTAGTAGTAGTAGTAGTAGTAGTAGTAGTAGTAGTAGTAGTAGTAGTAGCAGTAGTAGTAGTAGTAGTAGTAGTAGTAGTAGTATTAGTAGTAGTAGTAGTAAATTGCACCCCACCAGGACATCACACCAAGCGATAGACACTCGGTGACCATAAAGTGCCACCGTACGGATGAGGATCACCTGTGGAGGAGTCCCAAAAATTCCGTTCAACGATGTGTTATATTAGGACTCCAGGCTACAACCGGTGTGGGGCTTTGAAATAACGAAAAACTGCGTCCCAAATCAGGACGACTTTAGAATGAATCATCATCATATAGCAGGTTTTTTACAGAACGTCGATCTCATCACGGTCTGCCTGAAACAAAGTCGCCAGCTCTCCCGCCTCATGTACTTCCATACTCGAGGAGTCACTTATATCCTGTTCCCATCTTCGTGTTGGTCTGCCCCTGTCCCTCATTCCTGGTACCATGCCTTCTTCTATTTTTTCCCCAATCATTCGTGGCGCTTGAAATGACCAAAATATTTCAGCTTGCGATACAGGATGCTGTTTATTAGCTAATCTTTCTTGATATTTAGATCTTTAAAGATGTCAGTATTTTTCCTCTTCTTTTTCCAAGATATTCTGAGAATCTTTCTATAGCATGTCAGCTTAAAAGCCCATATTCTCTTTCTTAAGGACTGGTAGTGAATACCAACTTTCTGCTCCTGTCTTCCCTTGAGGATCGACCAGTCTGGGTGTGGATTCCTTGGACTGGTCACCTAAGGACAATACTTGTGGATCAGGGGATAACCAAATCACCTCACACATTACGCTACAAATGTTCCTTACTGGAAGGCAAACCCAGAAAACAAATGCGTCGGTCAAAAGGTGCAAATATCGCAGCTGTGTTGTTAAAAGGTACAACGCATTGACGTCACTATGACAAAAGAATAATAATAATAATAATAATAATAATAATAATAATAATAATAATAATAATAATAAGAAGAATAAGAAGAAGAAGAAGAAGAAGAAGAAGAAGAAGAAGAAGAAGAAGAAGAAGAAGAAGAAGAAGAAGAAGAAGAAGAAGAAGGAGGAGGAGGAGAGGACGAAGAGGAAGAAGACGAAGAAGAAGAAGAAGAAGAAGAAGAAGAAGAAGAAGAAGAAGAAGAAGAAGAAGAAGAAGAAGAAGAAGAAGAAGAAGAAGAAGAAGAAGAAGAAGAAGAAGAAGAAGAAGAAGCTGTATATTAACGTGATACTACAATAGTAAACATTCAGAGAAAAGGTGTGATAGACATACCTTAGAATTACTACTACTACCATCAAAATTTTTACTGCCCTGGCTGCTGAAGATGGGGGATGGAACGTTTATGGGAATATCTTGAGTGACTTGATGTCAACTGTTAGTCAACAGCCATCCTCAGTCAAACCATTCAGCCCATAGATGCTCCATTCCCTCTTAATAAGGCAAATCGATACCAGTGATGTTTTGGTTTATTACTGTAGCCGGGCGGTCCCGAATTTAACTGGACTTGCGGAAAAGTCTGGCAAGCAGAGATCAGAAGTTGATAAATGGGGCGGGACAGGAGGTTTTGATCCTTGAACATTATTTGCCGTCCTTTATATGATGACATTTTTCGTTATTTGAAGCCCCACCCTGGCTCTTGCCAGGGGCTGCAATATAGCCAGGCCATAAATATGGTCAATTGGCTGAACGCGGTTTCTGGTACCTCTCCACGGTGATCCTCATCCACATGGTGGCACTTTGTGTCATTGGGTGTTTATCGCTTGTGTGATGTCCTAGTGGGGTAGAAAGTCAAGTCAAGTCAAGTTTTGATCCTTGAACATTATTTGCCGTCCTTTATATGTTGACATTTTTCGTTATTTGAAGCCCCATCCTGGCTCTTGCCAGGGGCTGCAATATAGCCAGGCCATAAATATGGTCAATTGGCTGAACGCGGTTTCTGGGACCTCTCCACGGTGATCCTCATCAGTCAGCCAGTTTTGGCCCGACACTAGAACTGATCTCCCTATTACTGGGGAGCTCAAAGGCATGAAGGAAAACAAGCTGGCACACGCTACCCAGCAAGCAAACAGACAGGCAGAAGACGTAGAAAACCAACCCAAGATCAGAGATCTACTGACCAGTCTCGCAACAGCCCAGGCAGAAGAGAAACTTCACCGCCAGTCCAGGGCTGCCAATAGGATTTTTTTTTTAAAACCCAGCTTAGCTGAACAAAAACCCAAGCAATAAATAAACAAAACAACAAAAACCTAGATTGTTAAAATGTACAAAATGAATATTTACGAAACGAAACATTTACCACTTTTATATAAGGATATATTTAAAAAAAAAAAAAAACAGATTTTCCCCAGGCGTCAAATAAAAACCCAGATCGGGGGGGGGGGGGGGGGTGCGGGGTGCGGGGGGACCCCAGCATTGGTAGCCCTGCGCCAGTCAGAAAGAAAGGAGAGAATTAAGGAGCTGGCTGAGCTAATAACTGCGCGAGAAGCCGCATGCCGCTGCGGGCTAACGCAGAGGCCGAGGCAGCAGCCCAAGCAGCTAAGACGGAACGTGACCTGCTGCAGAGAAAGAGAAGCAGCCAGCAAAGCCTCAAGAAACCCAGTGTCAGCAGGGCTGATAGAATCACAAACATATCAAGCGATCGGCCCACGAACGATCCAGTGCGAACACTCACCATACGCAGATTGGTTCAAGTATTAGATTTTTTTAGTTTCCCCTTTACCTGATCTCCTTCCCTTTTTCTAATAAAACGTCCCCCTTAGGCTTTGCTTCTAGTACATTACCATCGTCAAATTTATATCCTGACTAGATTTAATTGCCCGACTTAGCCTGGAATAGTTACCCAAAAAAAAGTCTTCCTGTCCTCAACTCAATCTTCGTCTACCCCGCTGCCCTATATGTAGGCCTAGTGCAAATAGGGGTATAACCCAAACCCGTCTTTTACATTATATTTGACTCCACCGCTGCCGTATCGTTAATCATTGCTCCGAGGTGCACCAGAGGCATCCTTTGTCATTCTAATATCAGTATTAAACAGTTTAGGAGACATACAAATGTAACGTCTCAGACACATATAGATGTGTGGTTACAAGGAAGATAACAGCGAAATATATGTTTTTGGACCAGTTCATGTTTTTATGCCCAGGATGAGATTAACTTCCCTTGTCAGTCGTGCTTCCTCAGGTCGTTGGAACTCTCTTATGTTGCAGGGGTGTTAAGATATGGCTTAGTCAGTCGTATGTAATGTTTGTGAGAAGTTGTGTTTTTGTGAGTCTATTTCAGGCGCCGCAAGCGCCTGTGTACAAGTAAGACGTTATGTAGGGGATAAGCGCCGCAGGCACAGCAATTTTTGGCTATCGAAACTGGGATGTTTCTGTATATCTACGCTCGTTGGTGGTTGCTTCCCCGAGAGAGAGAGAAAGCACTCACTAAGAGCGTGAGAATAGAAAAATATCGCTGTTTCCATATACTCCCGAACTGTCGCGCAAGTAGCAGAACGCGAAAATATTCATGCAAGCGAGCGATGAAAGACGAGAAAGGAAGGAGCGATTAAACCGTTCACGATAAGGAAAAATGACCATGCAATATAGGAGTTCCAACGACCTGAAGAGGCATTAATGGCAAAGGAAGTCACTCTCATCCTGGTGTGGATTCCTTGGACTGGTCCCCTAAGGACAATACTTGTGGATCAGGGGATAACCAAATCACCTCACACATTACGCTACAATAATGAAACATGAACTGGACGATTACCCTC